CTGGGGGTGCGGGAGATGCGCGGACGCCCCGCGGCAGCGCCCACCGCAACCTCTTTATCAGAGCGACACCCGGCGGGCATGGCGGGAACTGCAGCCGAGGGAGTGGGGGGAGAGAGGGGAGAGCGATGGAAAGGCAGGAGCAGGGAGAGGGGGAAAAACAGGGAGAGAGGGAAGCGCGGGCAGCAGTGGACACAGTGGGCGGCCCTCAGCACCTCCAGGGCATTTGGGGCGGCGGGAGCAGCCTCCTCAAAGCTTTTGAAGCCCTGGAAGCACACCCAGCAGCAGGTACAGCGTGATGGGCCAGGTGTGAATAGAAGGCGGCATGTACTGGTGAGAATAAATTCAAGGCTTAGGACAGCTCCTCTTTGGGTGGGAGGGAAACCTCCCAGCAGAGGCAAGTGCCATTAAGAGCGGGCAGAAAGGCTTTATTTCAGTCTGCAGTTGTCCATCCTCTCCTCTGGCCAGCAAGGATGTTACGTGTGGGCTGCTCGGTGCACTGTCCTCTCTGCACATCCAGCAGCTCTCCAAGTGCCAGAACGTGCCCTGTCATCGCAGCCACACGCCAAAGCATCTGTTTTGCCCGTGCAGATTTGGCAATGAAGGTCTTTAATTCGTCCATCATACATAGCTCGGGACAGTGATGCCCTGATCCATCAGTTGGGCTGCTGAGGGGTAGGACCATCCGAAACAACCTCCAAAATACTGCAGGTGAGTGACAGAGCTGCTGCTGAACAGGACTCAGGGACACAGGGTGGGGGTTGCTGCTTTTTTTGTTGCTCTTAGCGCAACTGGTCACGTTGGTTCAATAGTCCTTGAGCAGAAACGGGCACAAAAAAATCTCAGGAGTCTCATCCTGAAACGAAACTTCCCTTCCAAAAAGCAAATCTACATTCTGAACACTAAAATAACTGGGAGGTCATTTTAAATTTGCTTCAGAGTTTCAGTCCATGTTCCCTGCTCTGGTGATCTGGCACATAAAAAATTGTGCAGGAGCTCTTTAGGCTTCATTTGGGGGATTTTTTTTGGCATTTCTGATGTTTAGTATAATTCAACCTCAGCAAGTCATCTGTTTAGCACAGTCCAGGGGTATGGGATAGGTCAAGGCTGAGCAAATTGTTGTCTTAGGGTTCAGGAAGAGCAGAAAATGGCAAAGCCTTCTCAGAAAATGAAGATAAATAATTTACTGGACTAATCAATAACTTGCTCTGTTCATTCCTCAAAAAAGTTGTGACCTAGATATATGTGAGCATCTGTGTGTGTGCATATGAAGCATATATAAAACAACATTCCTGTGCAGATTAAAGGAGGTAGTTTGGCTTGTTTGGCAAAGTTTCTCAGAGTTTTTTTAATCATTATTTAAAATGCTGTAGACTTTAAATGGTCTTTTCAACCACGATGCCTTTCGAGTGGTCTGCAGTAACTAATCTTTAGGTACCACCTGTTTTACAGGGCATGTATATCCAGCTTCCTTTTTTTTTACACTGTCTTCATTTCTATTATTTCTAATAAATAGATTCTAATATCTGCATAATAAAATCAATAGGAGGCATTATGATAAATTATTCTACTTCTCTTAACAGAGTAGAGTAATAAGTTTTAGGAAAATGGTAAATTAACACAAACCTTAGAACAACAATTAGAAATCAATGACAGAAAAGCAGGAATCAGAAAATTGCCTGTGGCAAATA